GCTGATAGGATGGGTTCCTGCAGGCTGGAAGGCCCTTAGTCCATGTGTCCTGCTACAACTCCGGTCCCTTGGCTTTGTGGCACCTGCCGAGTCGTATGAGGAGCGAAGTGAACTCTCTCTCTGGAAAGGACGAGGGTTGGTTCAGATGAGTCTGTGTGAGACCATGCAAGTGCGGGGGGCGGCGAGCCCTTTACTTTGGGGACCCGGAGTCCTCCAGGGCAAGGGGTCCCTAACGGTGTGCATCTCGTCGGACGAGGAATTAGATGATGAGGATGCTGCTTGCAGTGTACTGTAAAGTGTCGATTTTAATTGAGCGTGCATGATGTGCTGCTGTCATATTTGCATGAAGCATGGGCGCGCTCTGTCACAGATGTTGGTGTGAAAAACGCCAGTTCCGTGGCTATGGCCGCCATGAATGAATGATTGCTCTAATGCTATTAGTGCTGCTCCTGCTGCTGCTCCCTGTCGTTCGTTGTGTTGGGTTGTGTTTGTGCAGTGTTCTGTGTGTTGCTTCACTATAGCCCTGCGATGAGTTGCATGAACGCTGCATGTTGCATGTGCATGTCCAGGAATTTGTGATGCATGGAGCCTCGATCTCGCTGAGGTGTGAAATAGTGGGGAGCTCTCTGTATGCTAACCAAGGGGAGACAGCTTGGTGCGTTGGCTGTCTTATGTAGGGTCTGACTCCGGCGCTCTTGGGTAGTTTAATGGGGTGCGCTTGTACATTTAAGGTTTGGGCGGGGTAAGAATGGCATCCAGTCTGCCTCTGTGCTGCGAAGAGGACCCTGCTTGAGGATAGCCATGTACACAAACGTAAGCCTTCGTGACTCAAGCCACCTAAGCTCCCTTTTGGCTGTTCTTGTGCGGATGGAGTCTGCACGCCTCGTCGCTGTGGAAGTAATGCCTTCCTGGGTGGCGGAGATGTTGGCACGAGCTGACATCAGTGTGGTGGTGCCGGTTGCGATGGCAGCTTTGATGTGGCTGATCATGCTCAGCCAGGCCTTCTACATGCGAGGTGCCCTTGTCCGTGTTCTTCATGTGACCCAGCAGCTGGATGACAAAAGGGACGCCCAGGCAAGACTGCTGGAAATCAAGATGAGCGAATGGGAGGAGAAGATGAACGAGGTGATGGCTGGGGGGGCGGGCCTGCCCCCAACCACTCTGAACCTCGACCGAAACTTCTTCGAGGGTGACCCCTTGCGAATGCTTCAAGATTTGGCGGCGATGCATGCTCAGTTCATGATTGCATGCGAGGATGTTCGTGGCCTGTGCATGACTTCGCAACATGCATGTGACATGACTGCGAGCTTCAGTAAACAACTGCATGGCATGGGCGCCGAGATGACTGACCTGATCCAGGCACATGTCACGCTGGCCCAGGCAGTAAACAAGTTGCTGGATGATGTCCATTCAGGGACAACAAGCTCGTCGAGTGGGCCCACCGCTGCAGGCTTCATCAAAGAGCTCAAGGAGGCCCTGACGCCGTCGGCTAAGCTGATGCACCAACTCAGGGACACCTTCGACGCGGGGATGGGGGATATCACTCGTCAGCTGACGGAGGTGCATACCATGGGGTCCAACACTGGGTCACTCCGTGACACTCTCAAGGACCTGGCAACGAGACAGGAGACCATGGTGTCCATGACGGACAAGAACCTCGCAGAGATCAAGACCCAGGCGGCCAAGATGGACATGTGGTGCGAAAAACTCAGCACGTCCCTCGGCGTGACGAACAAGGTTCTTGGTGCACACAAGGAGATGACAGACGCGCTCGTGACCATCAAGGCGCAGGGCGACAAACACAAGGAGAACATGGAGAAGATGGAGATGACTCTCAGAAGCAAAACCACCTCCATAAGCGAAGAGGTGAGTGCCCTGAAAGGACAGGCAAGCAACCTCCACCAAACGAGTCATGGGCTACTGCGAGGACTGCAAAAGGCGATTGAGCACCAGGCCCAACTGGTCGACAATATGTCTGGCGCAGTGAGCCAAATGGGCGCCTCCTTTGCGAAGCCGCCCCTCGACTCGGCAGGCACGCTGCGAGTGCTCGACAACTTCTTGTCACTCAGTGAGATGGTCAAAGAGCAAGAGAACCAGTTGGGGAGCATGAGCACATTGCTTGGCGAGATCAAGGAGAAGATTCCGGAGAGGCCCCCCTACCGCACACCCCCTGTTACGGAGAGTGAGGCGACCCGCCCCCCGCCGAGAGTGATAGACTTGCAGAGCCGTCTTCCACCTGTAGTGAGAACTACCTTTATGCCGGGACCTGGTATAGCAACGGTCACGTACAGCGACGGGACACGGCAGGCCATCCGTGAGGAGGATCTACGCGGTTTTATCCCCTAGCTACCGTGTGCTAGTTTTCTTTCAACAGTTCCGTAGCCCTAACAGTGCTCGTGGCTCCTCTTCCTAGGCGGATCGAACATGGCATTGTGGATAGCCTGCATGTGGTTTCATATATGCATGCATGATGCAAGAATGCATGCCCTCACTGAATTTACACTGCTGCATGACTGGGGATTGTTTTGTTTGTTGGGTACTGGGTGGGGTTGAGACCGTTAGGTACTGTGTTTGGCTGTTACCCTGATCTGGTTGTTTTCAGAGAACCCCATGCATGCTGAATTTACTGTACATCAACACAGTGATCTTCCTGAGCTGTTATGTATTGCATGTGCATGGACCTGCACGTTGCTGCACCTTCCGCTGGCGCTTCCGATCGCCACCTTTTGCAGGTGCATGCTTGTAACCCAGTTAATTCAATCCAAAGGCTATCCGAATGCGTGGTGAATGTGAGAGACCTGAATCTTCCAGGCGCTCAAAACATGGAGTCAAGCTGTTGTGTCCCTTTATAGGTGAGTAGTTCCTTTCGGACATTTCGTAAGTTTGCATCGAGTCGTGCTTAGAAGGCTGTGCTTATACACAATGAGCGTCGAGGTGAATGAGGGCTGCTTGATCTCGCTTGTCTCTGTAGGTTGCTTGAGACCCTCAATTTCAGTTCTTTGCTTGTCTAGGCAAAAGCTGGACTCTGCCAGAGTCATTTACAGGCTCCGCCTTTGGGAGTGAGATGGCTCTGCATGACTCTGATGCATTGCAGATGATGTGCTGCTTCTCGACCTGTGCTGTGCGCCCGACAAGCAAACTCTCCGAAACTTTGTAGCGCTTTATCCCTATGTCCCTCGTGACCATTGCCTAACAAACCACTAACCTGCGACAGTGGCAGCCATGACCTTCGGCTTACTGCAACCGCCAGTGACGCTGAACACGGGGCTTGAGCCTCACCGCCTCTGGAATTTCTTGAATGAGCTGGACGTGGCTAGTGCATCCTATGTGGCAATACACCTTCTGGCCCTGGTCGAGGCACTGAGACAGTTACAGGAAGTGGCAAGAGAGCCGCTGGTCAGAGAGTATTGGTTCCACCTGGAGCATGTCTGTGAAGCCAAGTACAGGCCAGTACGTCTCAACGAGGTGGCAGAAGACGAGAGGATTCTGCAAGACATTGTATGTGGACTGGCAAGACGGCTCCGCTTGAGGACGTGGTTTCTGCTGGCAACTTCCAGATTGGGAGCCGATGATGCCCGTCTACGCAGCTGACGACAGGATCCACATGACAGGGATCCGTGGACATAGGGGGCAGTGGACAGGAACCGCAGCCCTGGGCTGAACGCGGTCCTTCTGTGGATGCCAGATGTAGTTGACCGATCAACGTTTGCCTGTTGTCGGTTGGAGTGCTCAAGACTTTTGAGGCTGTCGCACTGGCACATGGTGCGGATGACGGACTGCAAGCGAATTCAAGAAGTTATTGAGTTTGGGTTTTTACGGAATTCTGGCAACGTGAATGTGATATGGTGGTACAGCGGCATGAACATCCTGCATGAGATTTCAGAATTTGGTGCCGTGATGAGACGCGACGACGCAGCAGCCTGAACATCCTGCATGATGTTTCGGAATTTGATGTCGATCTCTACCAGTCCGATGTAGGGTCGAGGCATGTTAAGTCTGAGGCAGCTCTGCGAATGAGATCAACTGAGAGAGCATGTTAATTGAATGCATGTCCATGACCTGCATGACTAGGAAACTGCCTGGAGTTAGGTGAGTAGCACGGTCTTTTGAAACAGCGAGCAGCTGCTCGAAGCCTGCAGTATTGCTCGATGAACCACGCTTGTGTTTTTGCAATCATGTCTTTACTACCTTTGTTGTGTACTGTGGTTATCGAGCATTCTGCGTGTATTCTTGTCATGTGGAGACTGAACTATGCGGAGCCTTGCCGGCCTTGTGCGAGTGTGAGAGTCGAAACCCTAAACCCTAATCCCTAATCCCTAAAACCCTAAACCGAGTTATGTTCTTTCATGAACAGGTGCGGGGCTCTCTGGTCGAAGGTGATTTAGGCTTCAGGGGTCGACGGTTTACGGGCGTAGGGGTCCAGGGATCAGGGCTTCAGGGGTTTGGGATCTGGCTTTAGCGGTTTGGGGTTCAGGGCTCACCGGCTCTGGGTTCGGGTGTCTCGGGTGTCCAAGATAGTCCCGGAAGTTTCTGTGTTCAGGGCTAGTGTTGCGGGAACCACGAAGTCCAAGCCTGTGTAGGACGTTCGGACTCGAAACCCTCGACGCAGATCTCTGAACCGTTCATTCCCAAGTGTCTCTGTCGGAACCTGGAACTCACGTGAGCTTGACAGTGGGAGAGCGAGAGAGAGAGAGAGAGAGAGAGAGCTACCCCTACCAAGCCCCGAAACAGGGGTGCGCCTTACTGCGCGGGTGCTTGACTCGCACCCTACGCCCCGGAGAATAGAATAGAATAGAATAGAGAGATAGAGAGGGCGAGAGAGAGGGAGCGAGTTCCCAAACATGCAACCCTGCACGTAGCAGAGAACCGCATGCCCCCTCCCCAACAACGATGTTGACCGGACATAAACCTGAGGTCAATGCTATCAAAAGCATTGGGTTTAGGGTTTAGGGTTTAGGGGTTTAGGCAAACGATTAAAAACCGTCAACAACCGCAGAGAGGCTGGAAAGATCCGTTTGCACTTCTTCGGAAGTCGGTCCTTTGCACGGTGGCTACTTTCACCGATGGTTCTCCCAAAGCAGGAGGACATCTAAACGCTGTTTTGGGGCTAACAGGGTTTCGGGTTGGGGTGTTCGTTTTGCAGTTTAGGGATGTTTTTTTTGGCAGGTTGCAAGAACGAGCAATGATGGGGTATGCGGCTTTCCGGGATGAGGTTTCTCGAGAGGCTTTGGTGTGGAGGGGACGTGTAGGCGGATGCATTGGCCCCGACACCATCAGCAAACCCTAAAATGCTTTTCCGTTTACTCTCAGCCTCTCAACCCCTAAACCGTGAGGCGCTGAGCCCCTGAACCCTAATTGCAGCCTAAACCCTAGCTAGCTTGAAGAACTGATGAAGCTTCCGGTCAAGCTTTCGAACTCAGAGCCCTCGAGCCCTGAACCCCAATCGTTAAACCTTTAACGCTAAGCTTTCGCTTTAGGGTGGTCGGATGCATCCGGAAAACGTCAGAGTCCGGACACCAACCTTTAAACCCTGCACCCCGAAACGGTTAAGGGTTTAGGGTCTAGGGAACAACCAACCAACCATCCTGAACACTTGGATTCTAACCCCTGTGTTGTAAAACATAGTTCCTAGGTTTCCCTGTTATTTTTACAGCGACCGGATTTTCAAGAATGACGGATCTGACCACCGCTGTAAGTTGGGATGGTTCTAAACTATATGGGGATTCCGGAAGGTACTAATGACGTAGCAGATCACCGGCAGAAGAACACACACCAGCATGGCTTCCAGTTCAGTCCAGTCTAGACTGTTGAGACGATCAACCGTGTGCTTGATTTGTAATTCCAGCTCGCCTCGCATGCTAGTGCCGTTCGGGACAACGGAGGCGTTGCTCGGCTCCAGTGGGGAACCAGTGAGGAGATGCTGTTCAGCCTCCTGGAGGACCTGCCCAGCCAGAGCCTTTGCTGCACGGATGTTCACGGGGTCTGCAATCTGGGGTGGAGGGCTTAGGGTTTCGGGTTTAGGGGTTCAGGGCTTAGGGGTTTAGAGGTTTAGGGGTTTAGGGTTTCGGACCAAGGTGCAGGGCGTGGATTGTTCTGGCCCAGGCAACAAAGCCATACAAAGCCAAAAGAGCATTTCGCTTTCCATCGTTTCTGTACAGCTAGTCCCATATGCTTCCGATGCTTTCATGCTCGTAGCAGTGGAAACACAAGCAGTAGAAGCCACAGTTATGTCACGCGTAGTCGTACTAGTAGTCGTTGCCGCCGCCTTCGTTCGACGTTGTCTTCTTCGTGATAGTGGCAGTGGCAATGGTGGTGTTGGTGGTGCCGGTGGTGGTCGAAGTAGTTTAGTAGCGGTAGTAGTAGCAACAGCAGCAGCAGTAGCAGTAGCAGTGTTAGCAGTGCAGTAGTGGAGCAAGAAAAGCAGCAGCGGAAGTAGTACTCGTCGACGTAGTCGTTATAGTCGTTGGTCGTAAACATATAATCGTAGTCATAGTCATCCTCGAAGTCTTGGTCGTAGTCGTAGGTGTCGTCGCAGGCGTCCTCGAAGTCGTTTGGTAGTCGTACTAGGCGCCGTCGACGCTGTTGTAGTAGTAGAGGGGACCAAACCCTTAGTCCTTCAAGCCTAGAGTCCAAGAGCCAACATCGTAAATCCCGGTAGGTCGGTTTAGGGTTTAGGGTTAAGGTTTTAGGGTTTAGGGTTTAGGGTTTAGGGTTTAGGGTTTAGGGCTTGTAACTCTCACCTCTAAATGCTGAGTTCTACATCGCACACTCTCCAGCCTAGGCAGGCCCTCAGCGCAGTGCTCTCGACCGTCTGGGATCGTTTAGCCGACATGTCGGCCCGGGCGCCGAGTAGGGTTTAGGGTAAGGGTTCCCTAAGCCCTAAACTTAAACCCTAAACCCTTCCTCTACGGATACCTATAACTCTCCTAGAAGGGTATAAGTCGGTGAAAGGGTGTATAGTTGATAGGCGATTCAGCTTTAAGGTGCTTTAAGGGTTGCGGCTTAGACTAGCCAACGGCTTGCAAGGTTCAGGTTAAGAGGGAATATCGAGGTTGGAAAGGATTTAATGCCTTCTAGCGGATCCATGCCAGAGTTTTGTCGGATTCCAACTGCATCCTCGAAATAGTTTGCCTTAGATGGCGTTTTTTTTTAACTGACAAATTTAGTTTCTGCAGGGTGGTACGGAAAATGCACCCTAAACCCTAAACTCCAAACTTGACTCTAAACGCTAGCAAGGCTTTCTTGCAGGATTGTGCAGAGCTTGTGTGGCTTGAAGAGGGGTTGTACGGAACCCTAAACCCTAAACCCTATAAATACTCCCTGCGGTGCGACTTGTCAGCTGGGCGGGTGGGAAAAAACCCTATAAATCCTCAACCTTTAGGAACCCTAAACCCTTAGGAACCCTAAACCCTAAACCCTATAAATCCTAAACCCTCAACCCTACTTTAAATCCTAAACCCTAAACCCTACTATAAATACTAAACCCTAAACCCTACTATAAATCCTAAACCCTAAACCCTACTATAAATCCTAAAACCCTAAACCCTACTATAAATCCTAAACCCTAAGCCCTACTATAAATCCTAAACCCTAAACCCACTATAAACCCTAAACCCTAAACCCTATAAATCCTAAACGCCTCAAGTTTCCAGGTTCATTGACCATTGCCACTGTTCCAGGTGTCTGGCTCGCGGCGTAGGTTTCGCCTGAACGCCACAACTACCTAACCCCCCCCCCCAAAAAAAGTAGGTAAAATAATGGCCCAAGACCTATTAAAAAATGCTTTTGATTTACATAGTTTTGGGGTCTAGGTACTTTCTTTGCTCAGGGAAGACGACGCAAGTTTGCAAGTGTAGGGTGCCGGCTTAAAGCGTTGGACGGACGGCCATTTTCCGCGGGGAGTGAACGATCTTAATGCCAAGCGAGGCGTGGATCATGGTACGTAGTCTTTTTATTTAGATTTCACCTTCGATGCTCCACCCCGAAACCTTCAACACCGCGCATCTTTAATTTTGGCCCAGTTTCATTCCACCCAAAACCAAAAAAGCGGCTAATCCCCAAACGCGGGCCGTCGCGGGCCCCCAATCCCCGATGACCAGCATGAGAGCATATGTCACCCTTCTCATCAGGACCCTGTGTGGGACCAGAAGTTTTGAGAACATCCGTAACGCCGACCACTGGTGCTGGTAAGGAACACAATGGCATTGTTGAAGAGTCTACGTTTCCCCATAAACCCGCATAGCACTGAACCGTAAACAGGAAACACAAGCTGCAACATTAGCCAATGCACGTGTATATGTATATAAATGTATGTATATAGCATCTGTAGACAGTGGATACATATATACACATACCTCTTGAAGAAGCCTGACAGGAACCACCTTTTCCAGACTTCCCTGTCACCCAACACCCCCATTTCTGGAATGCACCCTTTATACACGCCAACATCGCCCTAAACCCGAAAGCCTAAACAATTCGAGAAGTGCTGAAACCGAAAGTTGAGGGCATTGGGCCATTGGTCCATGCATTGGAGGCTCCTCCGGAGCCTCAGCGCTTGGCTTACTGGCAGCGGCCCCTTCATCAGGCAGCCTGAACGGCCATTCCTTGAAGGGTATGAGAAGGGTTCCTTGACGGGCATTACAGGCATCCCAATTTCGACGCTGTACTTCATGTTTCTAAATTTACCCTAAACCCTAAACCCTCCCCGAAACCTTAAATCATATTTGTTTGTTTTTGCTACCTTATGGGTGTAGGGAGTCTGGGGCGTGAGGGACCGGGTGAGCCCTGGCCCAAGCAATGTACAGGTTTAGGGTTTAGGGTTTAGGGTTCTTTTGGGCTTTCTACGGTTTGCAAAGGGTTTGATTGAATGCATATTCTGACTTAATGGGTACAGGTCTGTCAAGACTTCTGGGCTTTGTGGCGAATCTGGAACAGGCCCACCCCCCAAAAAGGGCACACCCGAAGCCAAAGCCAACGCCCAAGCTTTGCTCAAGCTTCTCTGCATGCTGTAAGTAAAGGATAGCGTGGCTTGAACAAGTAAAAAACAGAGAGTGTGTGTATATATATATATATATATGTATATACCCATATGTATATATATATA